GAGGAGGAGGAGGAGGAGGAGGAGGAGGAGGAGGAGGAAGAAGGAGAGGGTTCACCTGCTCATGTATGAACAAAACTTTGCTGCTTTTCATTTTCCTTTCTTTTCTTTTTTCTTTTATCCCCCATTTGGGGGACCTTGACAGAGTGAGTGAAGTTAAGGGTCCTGGATGGGGCGAAAAGCAGGGGGTCTTTTGCCCTCCAACTGCCCGCCTTTGTCCATCTTTCCCAGGCCCAGAGAGAACAGCCGGGGGGCCCCAAAGCCCAAGGAGGCGTCCAGACAGCGCTGCCTTTGCATCCAGAGAAGATCCACCCAGAGGTCCCTTGCGTCCGCGGAAGGGCCACGGAGAAAAGCCCATTTGAAATAACCAACGTGGTAGTAATGAGAATGAACGATGCGCTCTGCCAGCCACGAGCACGGAGGCAGCAGGAGTTGCTGAAACTCCTACGCTTCCTGCTTCTTAGGATTGTGGGGGGAGAGCGGGGGGCGCCGGCTGGAAAGTGTTCGGGTGGACAAAGTGCAGGTCCAAAGCTCTGCTCAGCCTTAAAATACGGGGTGGCCTCAGGCTGGTCACTCTCTTGCTCTTAGCCTAACCTACCTCGCAGGGTTGTGGGGAGGAGAAGCCGCTACACGTGCATCCTGAGTTCTTTGGAAGAAGGAGAAGGAATCCACCGAATTTGTTGCCGGCCTCTTTCCCCTGGCAAATCCTCGGGAAGGTTGGCATCGCCACCCTGGCAGGAGCTTCTCTGGATCAAAGCTGCCGAATCTTTGGGCAGCAAAGTGGATCATCCGTACGAGCAGCAATATATACATATAACTCTCTATAAATATATACATATGTACGGCACTGAGCCAAGCCAAGGCCTCTCGGGGTGCCCCCTCAACGCCTCCCAACCCTGGGTCCAAGTGGCACTGTCGCTTCTGCGGGATCTTTCCCCGGAACGGCCGAACTTCCAACTGATGGGCATCTGGGAGGAGAAATGCGAACCTGCCGTGGGGGGCAAGGAAACGCATTCTCCTGGCTTGATCAGAATGGTATTTTTTAAAAGATATATATATATATATATTTGAGATCTCTCTCCCCTCTTGTTAGCTAACCTTTCTTTACATGTTTTGGAAATTGAAGAAAAAAATAAAAGCTTATCTTGGCAGGGCTGGGGGGCGAGGGGCCGGGCGGATCCTGCTGTCCTTTTCTTTCAAATTGCTTTCCTCCCCTCCTTTCTACGAAAGCGAGGCCCTCTCGCCATCACCCTGTTATTTCAAAAAGAAACGGTCTTAAGTGGTTGCCACGCCACTGTGTATGTAGATATATATATTGACTTTGTATTAAAGGAAGATTGTCTGGAAAAAAAAAGGAAAGGTGGTTAAAAAGGTGTTTGTTCGGGGGCCAAAAGTGGCCAAGGGGGGTGGGAGGGAGAAGGATCTGCAGAAGTGAAACCGTGGGCAAAACAATCCAGGGGGTCACCTCCAGCAACCCGTCCTGGACTTGGGCAGAAACGCTCTCGCCAACCCTTCTTCCATTCCTAAGACCGGGTTTTGCTCAGGGGTGGGTCCCAGGGACTGCCAGATCCCACTGCAGATGACGGGCCAGGCGTTCCCCTTCTGCACCCGCGTCCCGCAAGCCGACGTGTCCGGAGGCTGGGATTTTGCCGGCCTCCATAATTCGTCCCGAGATGTGGCGCTGTTCGTAAGAGAGAGGATCAAGGCTGATCTATAAAGCACCTCTCGCTTCTTTGAACAAGCTTCCTCTTATCTCCATCCCCACAGCATGCTGACCCCAGGTATGAAATTCACCCATTTTCTAGGTTACATCCAACTATAAATGAACCAGAAGGGAGTGGGTTTGTACAACACACGTAAGTTGCAGAAAGAGGTCTGACCAGAGTTATCCCTAACCAGGGGCAACGTGTTGTGTGAAGGCACCTGTTAGGCCTTTCCTCTGACCCGGTCAAGCGTGTGGCTCAGCAGCAGCCCTTTGTCCATAGCCCAAAAGGTGACACAGGTGGACCAGGCCACTTCATGCACTAGTGCAGTGTTTCTCAACCTCAGCAACTTTAAGATGGGGAATTCTGGGAGTTGAAGTCCACCCATCTTAAAGTTGCTGAGGTTGAGAAACACTGCACTAGAGATTTGTACAACATGCTCAGTTCACGAGATGGTGCCAATATTTAATTTAAAATAAATTAATTCTGCCCTCTGCCGGTGCCAAAGTGGGCCTTCTATGGGTTTAAACTTTCCACACTGGAAAATGAGAGAAGGATGAACCCTCATTCTTAGTAAAAACTTGGTAAGCAGTAGCATATTAAGGATAAGAAATTAGTGGTGGGTGTCTTTATAGCTTATGGCTAACTTCTGCTACAAAAGTCACCCCAGCCTCCAAAACTGCCTCATTTTTGCCTTTTAGAGCAGAAGCACTGAAAAAAAGGAAAATCTCAACATAGGGCAGACTTACCCATCCACACGGCCTGATTCTCACGCATCTTTGGGGCTAGAAGGCCCCTCTGGCCCAGCTGTGGCATTTGAGCTCCGCAAACAGGTTAAAATCAGTCTGTTTCACCAAAAAAAAGGGGTCAGCTTTGCACGCCCGGCTCTTCCCATTCTCCCTGGGTTAAGCCAGCTTATTACAGTCATGTTTTTTTTTACCGACCTCGCACCGTTATTGGTAATGCATTAACAAAAATGTCAAGATACCCAAATTGGGCATTACTAGCTAGGGGTTGGGAAGGGCAAGGGGAGTGAACCTTCAAAATCTTCAAAATCCATTCAACCCAGATGTTAAAATGCAATATTTTGCAGGGTGTATCAAAAGCAATAATCCTGCTGGTGAAAAAAAACAGACGTCCAACACTCTTTTGTGCCATGTTAGATGCTCCTAACAATAATGGCTTACTATGTTTTTTTCCCCCCTCATGGACCAACATGGCCATTATTATTTATTACAAGCCCACTTGATTGTTTGCAATCGTTTCAGATACGCATTGCCAATAGAAGCACCAGGGCCCCAGCATCTGTGCTGGTGTAACCTGTAGCCTGTCTTTGGGAGACGTCTGCCCTTCGTTGCTTTCCTGAGACCCTTTTCAGCTGCTTCCCCACCTGGCAACCGGCACCTTTGTACCACAGGCTACAAAATGGGCCGCGGAAGGATGTAGGCAACGCGCTACAGATTTGCAAAGCTAAATGTGGGGGCTCTTGGTGGATGACAGGCTGTGTTCGGTGAAGGAAGGAACCTCGCCACACAGTGGCAAAGATGTGGAAGCCAGTGCTAAAAACAGACAGTGATCTGGTTTCCATAATACAGGTCGTCCTTGTTTAGTGGCTGCCTCATTTAGCGACCGTTCGCAGTTATGACAGTGATGAAAAAGTAACTTTATGACCCATCCTCACATTGGTGACCTTCACAGGTCTGTAAAGCAAAGGAAAACTCAAGTTAGATCATAAGCATAGGTGCAGGTTCATTTAGCGATCACGTTGCTGGTCCTAATTGTGGTTGCTAAATGAGGACGACCTGATATTCATCCAGTCAAGAACTAACTTAGTTGAAAATCATTACCACCGGCTCTGCCATCCTACAGATGCACTGAAGGATGTGCAGAGTTTGCGTAGGACGTGTCCTCACAATGCCATCTGCATCTCATCGCCAGCCCAGTCTGACCTCGGTCCTGGCATGGAAGTGGTGTTTTCCCTCCTATCCTGACCCCAGGCCTCCTGTGCAGACACGCTGGAGACTGGAGAAAGCCCATTGCACCCCAAACATCTGTTTCATCATCCCCGCTACCTCGGCACAATCAGAGAGCCCTCAGTGTTTAATCTCATGAGGTCTGCAAATCTCTTCCGAAGGCCCCACCCGAGACAAGCCCGCTTAGAAATCTAGAGGCTTTAAGAGGAATCAAGAAGGTTAGAGTGGAACGGGTTCCTTGAGATCACCCAGCCCAACCCTTTATACTGCAGGAGTCTGCAACTCC